TTTTCTCAGCGCAAATTTCTCGATCTATGGAAGGTTTTAGATGGTTTAGAACAAAAAGGAGAATATACGTAAGTGCTAGTTTTTTTGCGAGTCCAAGTGGACTTGAACCGAAACTTTTTACAAGTCCAGTACCGGTTCCGCGTACCGGTAAGCAGCACTAGTTGCAACGGGTATTTACATGACTAATTAATGTGTACATGATTATTATTAACATGGGTTTTATTTAAGCCACTTATCATTTAGAACTTGACATGTCAGAAAATGAAAAATACAATATAAACTGGTATGTCAACAAAAAAAAGATTGGAAAGAAAAAGCTGACATAAACACAAATGAAAGGGGAATTGTTTCACAACAACATGGAAACAGGATGCAGGGAAATGTATCTGACTATCTGATGGCAGGATGACATGTCACTAATATTTGCATATGATTTGGTTCGAAAGCAACAGTCTGTTCTTTCATTCCAGTGGCTGATAGAATCATGTTGTTGTGTGTGTGTTTGAAAACAAAACAATTCTTATGTATCCCCCCCTCCCTCTGTACCTCTAATGTTGGTTTTGGACAGTGAGGCATTGACGTCGTTGTCAAAGTCTGCGGTGTTGTAAGGAAAAACCTTCAGAAAGGTGAAATAAAACACGAGTTCTTACTAAGCTTTAACAGAAAGGTGAGTCTGTCTCTACCTACGTCAGACGTGATCAAAGAATACAGCATGAGAAGTCCCGTGAGTTCATTTAAAAACTGCAATTTCTGTTCACGTTTTTCTTTTGATGTTTCCAACAGAGTGTCAAGGAGATCAATGAGAGTGAGCGAGAAACTACTGAACAAAGATGAAGGGGAGATATTTCATGTCTTAACATCTTTTTTGGCATTATATTATTTATTTGTTTGACTTATATGTATTTTCTGGTGTCATTCGCACTTCTGTTATAAATAGACTATTACTGCCACCACTGCTTTACCTGCTGCTATTTTACATTAAAAGGTAATTTAACCCTCTGAGGCCCACGGGGCCGTATACGATCCCAAATATCACGTTGTGTTCAAAGCGTCATAACTTCTCAGCTGTTTGAGACATGCCGTGTTTCCTCTTAAACTACAGAAACGGCAATAAACAACTCCATTACGTTTTTCATTGAGAGGAGTTTACTTATTTCGGTGAAACGAATTTGCATAGAGTTTTAAAAGATGCGGATAGTCTCAACGCATTGCTTATCAATTTCTGTTGTATAGATCTATTCTCATCCACCATCTTTGTTTGTGACGTAAAGAGTGTAAGAGTCACGTTTCTGAATCGGACACTCTGAGTGGATGCAGTCGCAGCCAATCGGAGTCTGCCTGTCAGTTCCGTTGTTATGTGTACTGAAACGAGAGCCGGTATAATTTCACGCGCGAAAACAAAATAAAAAGTTGGAATCAGTCTTTTAGTGTTTTGAAAGTAGACTGAGGTATGGCAAGGACGTTTACTACAGCTGAGGCTTTGGAGCTGATTTTTCAAGGTGACGATGTTGATGAAAATTCTGACGAATCTGCTCAGCATGCCACGTGTGATTGTGGACAGGAACTGCCATGATATCATGTGTACAAAAAAATGACAATTCCTGGCAAAAAAAATGTCCATGGAGACTGCCCAAAAGAATGGGCATAACTAATGAACAGAATAAGTTAGAATCTTCTAATCAGTTCTGATACAATGATAATGAATGTGTGCAATTTTCTGTGTTGAATGTTTCTTTTAATGTTATGGTTAGCATTTATTTAGTAAAAAAGTAAAAAGAAAATATCCCCTATAAGTCTCTATGAGTGACATATGTCATTAGCTGAGGTTGTGCTGATTTCTGATTTAGATGCGTAATGTTAGCTAGTTAGCTAAACTGTTAACATTGGCTAGTTAGCCTGATAATGTTTACTTGTTAATGTTTACTTGTTATCTAGATAGCTAACGTTACTATACATAGTTTACACCAAAATAGTGTTTTCAAAAAATTTCCTTATATACTATTTTGGACTATTTTCGTGTCAACCTTCCGCCCAGTAACTGATTCGAAGGGCTACTGTAGCTTTAAATGATCCCAAATAAAATGCATCGTGTACAATGAATGCTCTGAGTGCTTCACTGGAAAAACTAAAACCGGTGCAGAGGTTGGACAATGGGCGGGGCTACATCAGGTAAATATGCTTATTACCTTCCTAATATGCAAACAAGAATGACGTCACAAATGAATCCAGGTGATACAAGCCATGTATGTGTAACACTCAGTTATAACAACAGTTGTCATCCGAAGCCACGCATTGAAACAATCAGAGCAAACTAAGATGGACGTAGTTCTACTGCTTATCATGGCTGCTGCAGGCAAGTGTTTCAAATGATATATTTTTTGTTTATATATTGATTATTTTCAAAAGATCTGAGGCACATGAAAATAATAATTATAGAGGACATCTCGGATTCTTGATAAATAGAATAATTAATTGCATTGTAGGCTGTAGATTTGTCCAAATGTTTTTTAAGTGACCTCTTAAAAAAGAACTAAAGGAATTGCAGTTAAAAGTAATGATTTCTGTTTAAAAACATCCTAGCACACTAAAATGTAATTAGTCAGATTACAGCCTGAATAAATGTTTATCTGTGTCTCTACAGGGCTGAGTGCTGTCTCATCATTTGTTGACTGTCAGTACTATTTTGTTCATGAAATGAAGAACATGACCGAAGCACAAAGTTACTGCAGAGAGAAATACACAGACCTGGCCACTGTACACAGCGTGGAGCTTGTGAAGCTCCTGAAAGACAGTTTCGGTTCAAATACATCGGTAAGAAAATGGATAGTGAGTTTACTTGTTTGTTTTAATTCAAAGCAATTTTCTAACTTTTATGCTGGTGACAGGGTTTGAACTTTATAAAATGTGACCCTACATAGTAACTTGCAACTAAACTGTAGTGGTGTAAAAAGTAGAAAAATGCCCATCAAGTGCAGTAGAGTAAAGTATAAAGTGTTTTGGTACCACTTTACAATAAGACTACCCTTATAAAGGGTTTACGAATAGTTTGTAATTTATTTATTAATTAGGTTGTGAACACTTTATAAGACATGAGATAAACAGGGCAACTGTGACCGGTTGCTTGCCAAATAGTGAGCCCACATTTATCTGTACCGCTAAGTCTGATATTGGCTACTTAGCTTACTTCGTCTCCTTCATCAGCCAGCATCCTTGGTATCTGTTGCTCACTGAGTTGATTCTCGCTAAGTAGCCAATATAATGCTTAGTCATCTTGCCAAATAGTGAGCCTGTATGTTAGGGAGGTGTGTGGCGCAGTGGATTAGTGCGTTTGTGTTCGTATCAGGGGAGCACAGGTTCTAACCCTACTTCAGTCAGCATGTCGTTGTGTCCCTGAGACACTTCACCCCAAATTGCTCCTGTGGGGATTGCCCACAGTATTCAGTATGTAAGTCGCTTTGGATAAAAGCGTCTAACAAGTAACATGTAATGTAATGTTAGAACTGGTTTATAAATGGTTCTTAATGATTAATAAAGTGTTTACAAACTAATTCACAACCTTAAATCCTTTATAAGGGTAGTCTTATTGTAAAGAGGTACCAGTGTTTTAGTATAAAACTCCCTTATTGTGTTTCAGACACTTTTTCAGCTGCAGTGGAGTAACAATAACAAACGGAGGGAATTTTGAAGAAAGACTGAAAGTATGAAAAATGAAGTCTTGAATGTACTTAAAATAAACGTTTGTATAAACTTTTACACAGAACAAGGAATGTGGAGCTCCTACCCGTTTCAATATTCATATGGGAAAAATGTGCACCTGTCCTGTTAGTTTTTCAAATCGAAATTGGTTGTGAAAGTAAAGCAAAGCAATTGTAAAATCCTGTAATAAAGTTTAAGAGGATTAGACAAATATGTAACAGACTTACATCAGCTTGAAAAGTTACATTATAGTGTAATTATTAATACTGTGATTAAAATCGCTTTCAGAAAGCCTGGATAGGGCTGTACGATGACCGGGACACCTGGAGTTGGTCACTGTCAAACACAAGCTTCAACAATTTTGCGAAGACTGAGTTAACACCAAGCAACTCTGACAGACGAGAACACTGCACACTTAACAGCTCTGTTGATGAACTATGGGATGCTGGTGGTTGTGAAGAACACTTCAATGCAATCTGCTTTGACGTCAGTGGTAAGACTATTAACTTAACACTAGAACCGCCAGGGGTCGCTGTATACCTAAAACTGCCAACGGGTAAAATGCACCCGCTATTATAATTAATTGATTTTCAAGGTACAATGTTCTCTTATTTATCATACTAGAACACAGGGTTAACAGTGAGTTTTGATCACACAGTGATGAAACTTATACCAATAGAATCTGTGGACTCTCAGCTTTCTTATGATATCTAGTGTGAAGATAGCATGAAGTACAAAATATTGCTAAAAGTGTCTATCTATCTCTCTATCTATGAAGGAACCGCAGTAAACAACAGGCGTTGCTATAGCAACACGTCATGTTTATGTTTACGCGTGAGATCAATAGTGCGAGAATCACTGCATTTTCTATAAGGTAAATATTGCCGGCTGGCGCTAATGGGTATAAATGGCAATTTTCTCAATCTGACTTAATATTGACAATTTTTAACAACAGAGTGTTATGAACTCAGACACTTAGGGGATAGGACCCAATTGCACGACCCAGGAGACAGAGGTAAAGTATTTGTAAGATGCTTTATTTTTTCAAGAACAACAAAAAATGGTCTCTACAAAAATGGAGAACAAAATGAAAACGCTCACGCAGTGAGGATCAAAAGTTTTGCAAGAGCACATAGAGAGCATAGACATAGAAAAGACAAGAGCAAGGCTCTGACCATGGCAATAGACAAAAACGAACTGACAAAGAACACTGGGGAACAGGGGAATTTAAACACAAGACAATCAGACACAGGTGGGAACAATCAGGGGCGGGGCTG